TTTAGAGCTCCCAGGGAGCTCTAACATAATCTACAATGCTATGTGAGAGCTCCGTTGGAGCTCTAACAGACGATGTTAGAGCTCCCAGGGAGCTCTAACATACTCTAACATGCTATGTTAGGGCTCCGTTGGAGCTCTAACATGCCATGTTAGAGCTCCCTGGGAGTGCCAACATAACATGTTTGAACTCCCTGGAGCTCTATCATGCCATGTTAGAGCTCCCTGGGAGGTCTAACATGCTAGGTTAGAGGTGCCAGGGAGTTCCCTGGGAGCTCTTACATTGCATGTTTCAGCTCCCAGGGAGCTATAACATGACATGTTAGAGGCCCCACGGAGTTCTAACATACGGTGTTAGAGCTCCCAGGGAGCTCTAACGTACTCCAACTTGCTATGTTAGAGCTCCCTGGGGGCTCTAACCCGCCGCCGCCGCCGCCGCCGCCGCCCCTCAACCGTTTCACAATCGATTGCGCAACGGTTAAGGCCCCCCCCTCTCGCCAGGGGGGGGGTCTTAACCGTTGCATGATCGATTGTGAAACGGTCAAGCGCTCCGCCGCCGCCGCCGCCGCCTCCGCCGCCCCTTAACCGCCTTAACCGCGTCACCTTCGATTGCGCAACGGTTAAGGCTACCCCCCTGGCGAGAGGGGGGGGTCCTTAACCGTTGCGCGATCGATCGAAACCTGGTTAAGACCCCCCCTCTCGCAATAGGGGGTCTTAACCTCTCCGCGATCGATCGCGGGAACGGTTAAGACCCCCTATTGCGAGAGGGGGGTCTTAACCAGGATTCGATCGATCGCGCGACGGTTAAGACCCCCTCCTCTCGCCAGGGTGGGGCCTTAACCGTTTCGCAATCGATTGCGCAACGGTTGAGGCCCCCTCCCTGGCGAGAGGGGGGGGGGCCTTAACCGTTGCGCATTCGATTGTGAAACGGTTAAGGGGCGGCGGCGGCGGCGGCCGGCGGCGGCGGCGGCGGCGCTTAACCGTTTCACAATCGATTGCGCAACGGTTAAGACCCCCCTGGCGAGAGGGGGGTCTTAACCGTTGCGCAATCGATTGTAAAACGGTTCAGGGGCGGCGGCGGCGGCGGCGGGTGGGTTAGGGCCCCCGGGGAGCTCTAATATGGCATGTTACAGCTCCAGGGAGCTCTAACATGTTATGTTAGAGCTCCCAGGGAGCTCTAACATGGCATGTTAGAGCCCCCACGGAGCTCTAACATAGCATGTTAGAGTATGTTTAGAGCTCCCCGGGAGCACTAACATCGTATGTTACAGCTTCGCGGGAGCTCTAACATAGCATGTTAGAGTTTCATGGGAGATCTAACATGCCATGGTAGAGTTCCACGGGAGCTCTAACATAGCATGTTAGAGCTCCACGGGAGCTTTAACATCCTATGTTAGAGCTCCCAGGGAGATCTAACGTAGCTTGTTCGAGCTCCCTGAAGCTCTAACATACCATGTTAGAGCCCCCTGGGAGCTCTAACATGCCATGTTAGAGCTCCCTGGGAGCTCTACCATGTGAGGGAAATCGATCAACGAAGGGGGATCCCTCAAATCGCCCTGCCCCTCGGGAACTTACAAAATAGCCTCCTGGACCCCTCTTGGGGCGCTCTTGGGCGCTCTTGGGGCCGTATTGGGGCTCTCTTGGCCCCCTCTTGGGGCCCTCTTGGGCCATCTTGGAGCCATCTTGGGGCCTCGGATGGTCATCGGAAGCGAAAAGGCGAGAAGGCACAAATCACATATTGTCTGTAAGTTTTTAAAGGATTTTGGCATCTTGGGGGCCTCCTTGGAGGTCTCCGAGGCCTCTTGGAGCCGCGTTGGAGCGTTCTTGGGGCCCCTTGGAGAATCTTCGGGGCCATCTTGAGGCATCTTAGGCTATCTTGACGCATCTCGGAGGTCATCTTGGGCTCTCCGAGGCGCTCTTGGAGCCGTCTTGGGCCATCTTGGGCTCTCTAACTACCCGCGGGGCGCCCCGTCCAGGTCCAGGGGAGGGGGTAGGGGGAGGGGGAGCGTGAGAAGGATAAGGAGGAGGATGCGGAGCAGGAGGAGCAGGATAGCAGGAAAAAGGGTGAGCAGGAGGAGGGCCATGGGCCATGGGGGGATGCTGATTACGATGATGACGGTGATGATGACGATGAAGATGAATATGATGATGATGATGATGATGATGATGATGATGATGATGATGATGATGATGATGATGATGATGATGATGATGGTGACGAGGATGATGACGACGATGCTGATGAGGATGATGACGCCGACGACGATGAAAATGACGATGACGATGATGATGATGATGCTGACGACGACGACGATGATGATGATGATGACGATTAGGGCTCACATGGAGCTCTAACATAGCACGTTAGAGCTCACATGGAGCTCTAACATACCATGCTAGAGCGCCCTGGGAGCTCTAACGTGCTATGTTAGAGATCCCCGGGAGCTCTAACATGCTATGTTAGAGCTCCATGTGAGCCCTAATCGTCATCATCATCGTCGTCGTCGTCAGCATCATCATCATCATCAGCATCGTCATCGTCATCATCATCGTCGTCGTCATCATCAACATCATCAGCATCGTCGTCATCATCATCATCGTCATCATCATCATCATCATCGTCATCATCACCGCCATCATCGTAATCAGCATCCCCCCCATGGCCCATGGCCCTCATCCTGCTCACCCTTTTTCCTGCTATCCTGCTCCTCCTGCTCCTCATCCTCCTCCTTCTCCTCCTCCTCACGCTCCCCCTCCCCCTACCCCCTCCCCTGGACCTAGACGGGGCGCCCCGCGGGTAGTTAGAGAGCCCAAGATGGCCCAAGACGGTTCCAAGAGCGCCTCGGAGAGTCCAAAATGACCTCCGAGATGCTTCAAGATAGCCTAAAATGCCTCAAGATGGCCCCGAAGATTCTCCAAGGGGCCCCAAGAACGCTCCAAGACAGATGGCCCAAGACGGCTCCAAGAGCGCCTCGGAGAGCCCAAGATGACCTCCGAGATGCTTCAAGATAGCCTAAGATGCCTCAAGGTGGCCCCGAAGATTCTCCAAGGGGCCCCAAGAACGCTCCAAGACGGCCCCAAGAGGCCTCGGAGACCTCCAACGAGGCCCCCAAGATGCCAAAATCCTTTAAACACTTACAAAAAATATGTGATTTGTGCCTTCTCGCCTTTTCGCTTCCGATGACCATCCGAAGCCCCGAGATGGCTCCAAGATGGCCCAAGAGGGCTGCTGTTACTGCTGCTGCTGCTGCTGCTAGTGGTAATGCTGCCGCAGGTGCTCGTGCTGCTGCTGCCGGTGCTGCCAGTGATGCTGCTGCTGCGGCTGTTGTCGCTGCTGCTGCTGCTGCTGATGGTGTTGCCGCTGGCGATGCTGCTGGCGCTAGCGCTGCTGCTGCTGGTGGGGGAGGGGGGAGGCGGAGCGGAGGAGGAGGAGGAGGGGGATGAGGGGGAGCGCGAGGAGGAAGAGAAGGAGGAGGATGAGAAGCAGGAGGAGCAGGAGAGCAGGAAAAAGGGTGAGCAGGAGGAGGGCCATGGTCCACCGGGGGACGCTGATTATGATGATGATAACGATGATGCTGATGATAATGAGGACGATGATGAAGACGAAGATGCTGATGATGTTGGGGACGCCGATACTGCTGCGGATGATGATGATGATGGCGATGATGATGAGGAGGAGGAAGAAGAAGAAGAAAAAGAAAGGCGAGGGGAGGGGGATGCAGGGTACGAGGCACAGGGGGATCAGGAGGATGAGCAGGAGGAGGGGGAAGAGGAGGACAACGACGACGACGATTCGTGGGAGGAACACAATGGAAGGTTGGATGGATGACCAGGTACGCGGGAGGAAAGGAGAGGAAGATGAGGAGGCGGCTGCGGAGAGGATGTGTCGTCGTCGTCGTCGTCGTCGCCGTCTTCACCTCGTCGTCCTCGTGGAAGTCGTCGCCGTCGTAAAGGCCCAACCCCATGCAGCTGCGAGCAACGCAGGATGACTCTCTCCTCATAGGTAGCGCGCCGCCAGAGGGGTGGAGCCCGAGGCATTGCGGATGGGGGCCGCGAAGCGTCTGAGGGGGTTGCCGAAATGAGGTGGACGCGCAAAATGGAAATGCCCAGAAAGGCAGAGAAAAAAAAAAAAGCAAAACAAACAAGTAAAAAAAGGAAAGAGGAAAAAAAAAAAAAAAAAAAAAAAAAAAAAGAAGAAAAAGTAAAAAAAAAAAAAAAAAAAAAAAACAAAAAAGCCCCCCCGCTGCGTCTGCAGACTCCGTCGGCGTCCGGGCCGTCGGGCGTCGGACCTCGGTCAGCATTCGGCGTCCGAAAGCTGTTTGCAGCTGCCACGGCTTGGCGAAGCTGCCCCCGACGAGGCCGCCGAGGCCGCGCGGCTCGACGGGGCCGCTCTCGACGAGGCCGCACGGCTCGAGGATGCCGCTCTCGAAGAAACCGCCGCGGCCGCTGTCGAAGAAGCCGCCGAGGGCGCTCTCGAAGAAGCAGGGCTCGGGGAAACCAAAGGAGAGGACGAGGCCGCAGGGCTCGGGGAGGCCGCAAGGCTCGGGGAAACCGAAGGAGGGTTCGGGGAAACCGCAGGAGCGGACGACGACATTACCTTGAGCCAAGTCCTACGGACCACAATGGTGACGATGGTGATGGTGATGGCGATGCTGATGGTATGGATGGTGATGATGATGGTGATGGTGGGGATGGCGATGATGGTATGGTGAGGGCGGTTGTGATGGTGATGATGGTGATGGTGATGGTGGTGATTCTGGATGTGATGAGCACCATCATCATCACCATCACCATCGCCACCACCATCAGCACTACGATTTGATAACCACCACCATTACAATCGTCGTCGGCATCAAAACACAAAAAAAAAAAACACAAAAAAAAAAAAAAACAAAAAAAAAAAAAAAAAAAAAAAAAAAAAAAAAAAAAAAAAAAAAAAAAAAAAAAAAAAAAAAAAAACAAAAAAAAAAAACGACACTCAATCGATTCAACCTAAATCCGCC